CGGCACCAGCCTGCAGTCCTCATGAGCCGCCGCACAGTGGGGACGTGACCCTAGCAGAAATGCTAAGCAGGGAGTATTTTTAAACCATCCAACATGCCTCAGGAAGAAAAAAAACATCAAAACACTCCCCTTGGCGCTGCGGGAGGAGAGCGTTTCAAGGGACTCGGCAAAGCCCAGCTAAGCCCGGCTGCTTTCTGTTTTTAAAGGACCAAACTCTCTTCCCAAAAGTCCTGGAAAACGGACCAGTGACCGGCTGCTAAGATGCCCCGGGAGCACTTCAAGTCCACAGGCTGGACTGTGACCACAAAGCCCCCCAAACACGCACACACGCACATGCACACACTCACACACACACATACGCACCCCTGCTGCTCCACACACACACACACACACACATGCACACACGCACACATGCACACACACACATATGCACACGCACCCCTGCTGCTCCACAAACACACACACACGCCCACACACACGCACACACACATGCACACATGCACACACACGCGTGCACACACATGCACACACACGCACACATGCACACGCACATGCACACACACACGCACACATGCACACACACACGCACATGCACACACACACACATGCCCACACACACACGCACACACACACGCACACACGCACACACACCCCTGCTGCTCCCCTAACAGCCAAGTCCTCTCGCTGCGTCACAGAGTCCCCCTCTGTGCTCCTTCAGAGCTCGCCGTCCCGGGAAGAGAGAGAGGACGAGGGGCAAACTCTCAGGACCCAGAGGAGCTCTGTCCCCGTCCAGCCCTGGGCAGTCAAGTGTCCCCTGACCTGAAGCTCACCAGAGTTCAAGCCCAGCCTCACCTGCGGCTGCTCCTCCGGGGGCTCCGGGCCCTCTGTGCTCCAGCTGCCCAGCTGCCCACGGGGACTGCTCTGGGCCTGTCAGTTGTCCCTCCCAGCCTCTTTTAGCCGTGCCTGTCACCCCCTCCCACTGTCCCTCCTAGTCTCCACCCCTTCCCCTGCAGTCCTCCCGCCCCGTCTGACCTCCCAGAGTCTTAGCTCCCATTTAACAGACTCCTTCCTTCCACCTCAGGACCTCCCCTCCTCCTCCTGGACCAGGCGGCCCCTTCCTCCCCTGGGGCCTGCCCTCTGGCTGTCCTGGTCACCAGGGCCGGAGCTTGGCCTGGGGTGCCGCCTCCTGAGGGCCCTTCCTGCCACCTCTCTGTGGGGCCTCCTGGGTCCCCAGCCACAGCTTTCCCGGGCATCAGCAGGAAGCCTGGCCCTGCCAGGAGACCCTCTGCCCACCCTGCCTGACGTCAGAGAGGAACGGTGTCCACTCACAGGACGAGTCCTGGGGACCTGCTCTGCCGCCAGGGAGCAGAGCGCCCACCAGCACCCAGACAGGCCCGGGGAGCCTGGAGGGAAAGGGCCTGA